TCACACAGATGACCAGCTGTTTCTATTTTAATTTTTTTACGTGAATTTACATCACAATTTTCACATTATCCTGTGTATTTTATTATAATTACCATATTTACGCTGTCATTACGTCTGATTAAGTCTAAATTTGTATTGATTTTATAACATATTACCTTACAATGAGCTTTTTAAATTTCAAATTAATTTTTAATGTGACAAAATTGCATGTATTGCCTTTTCTTGTTGATTTCTATACTGCGTTTACCACTATACTCCAACAGCACTAACAGGAATAGCTGTCAGCCCCACCACCTTTTATCCAAACAGCCTTTACCCAGCTACAATCTCAACAGCTTCACCCCCCCCCCCCTCAGGTTTAACTCCAAAATTCTTTAACCCCAGAGCCCAACCCCAACAGCTACCACCTACACTGCCTTTATTCCACCACCTGTATTTTAAAAAAAATTCCCGCATTTATCTTGCTCCTAGATTCTCAAACCTTTCAGTTTAAACAGAGAAAATTATTTGATGTGTAAGTGTCTCTAGATTTAAATAGAGTCAATACCAGAAATGAAAAAGATTCTACTACAATTGTATCGGCGTCGGTATTTCATAATTTTCCTACTTTTAAAAGTAATTCTCTAGTTTAGCATTAACATACTAAATGGAAACTAATTCAACTGACCCCTAGACCCTAATCTTATTTTTACATATTTTTTAAATCCCTAAATTTATACATACATATCAATAAACGATTTTATTTAGCATGATCTGGTTTAAAAATATATTTTTCTTCCACATAACTATGATTTGAACTACATTCAGCTATGTATTATTGGCAAAGCGACGCTCAAATGAATATCCTGAATATCCTATCGAGTACCTTAACTAAATGTCTTCATGTGGTGAAGGGCAGACTACGCCGTCCCCGAAAGCGCTATATAGCTAACCCGAAAATTCCTACGTTAGTATATTTGACTCTAATCAGTAGGAGGTCTATGAGTTAACCCAGCTCGGATGTGTGCCTAACTATAGAATGTCCACTGAGTTCATGTCTTGATGTCTTGACCCACGTGCCAACTGTGAATCGTATCGGTCAAGTAGAACTGTCCGAATTTTCTCTCCGGCGTTTCGATCTAGACAGACAGAGGAAGTGAGTTAAATAAAAGCTTGTAAATTTTTTTTTCATAAAAAGCGTTTTAATAACAAGCTTTTATGTAATAATGCACTAAAAAGTAGAAAATAAATTATAGACTACTATTTAAATAACTATAAAGAAAAGCGTGGGTGTCTTCTTTAACATTAGTAAAGGTATCCAACGGCGACATGTCTAATGCGTCAGCGACATTTTTTTAGATTACGACTCTTGTCCATTGAGGCCGAAGAACCACGAAGATGTATGAAAAACAAGAAGGGCATACGAATCTGGAATTCAGAGTTTGAAACCCGGACTGGACAGCTGGGGACAAATACAATTACAAAGGAAAGAAAACTTAAAAAAAAAACAACTGCTGCTTAATTCTTTGAGGAATAACCCAGGACTGATCTCCCCTAAACTTTCTCGAATATTCTTATATAACACTACGGGGGATGGCAACTCGGGATATAGACAATATTTTAAATCCATTTTTAATTAACTTAAATTAACTTTTTAAAATAGAATAGAATCTCGTAGAAAAAAGAATTGCATACCAAGTTAACGCCATGCAAAATGTGCATAATAGTGTGGAATATTATTAGTACTTTATTAATTTACATGCGTTTTTTTGAGTAAATTACTACTTCCGGTCAACGGGAAAAACATAACTCAAAATTTGATGAAAGGTCGAGAATTATATATTTTACTTATATGTGAAATTTCATTTATCTATCTGAAATAGTACTCAAGTTATAGGCTTTTGAAAAATTGAAAGTAGAAAAAGTACCTCTTCCGGTTATCGGAAATCGCCGAAAAGTTGATAAGTATCTACAAGTTTGATGTTATACTTATATATTTAATTTCATCAAACTAGCTGTAACGGTACTCAAGTTATCGTGTTTAGAGACACACACACATACATACATACACACATACACATACACATATACAGACATACGGACAAGATTGCAAAATTATGTTTTTCCGACTCAGGGAGGTGTAAAAGTCGAGATTAGCAAAATCTCGATTTTGTTTTGCACGCTTACAATACTTTTGCTATTCTCTATGTATACGAGAAAGTAAAAAAGAATCTGAAGGCTAAAACAAAAGGAAAAAAATGCATAAAGACGAAATATAACATAATAATGAACAACTATTTAAATAGTATTAAGGGTGGGTTACTATATTATTTATTAGATACATTTACTAATATTTAGGAATAGACCCAAGCTTTTATTTATAGTTGTTACAATAGTATTGCATTTTTATATATGTCCTCCTTTTTAGTGTATTATTAAATAAAATCTTATTATTAAACTGATTTTAAGCATTTTATTTCAGTTCTTTAAATATTTTTTTTTGTATGGCTAAAATCTATTGCACACGAAATGAACATGACCATGCGAAATGCGTGTATTATAGCGCGGTAAATAGTACATTGTATAGATAAATTATATTAATTATTTAACATTAATTTACCATCCGATTGAGACCAATATTATTTCAGATCATATTACCAGCGCGCTAGATTCTGGGTGTTAAGTTTGAAACAAATCGGTCAGTTAGAATTGATCCACACTTCGCTGGGCAGTTTCGATCCATGACAGACACACAGACATAGAAGCAAGTCAAATATTATAAATGCTCGTAAAAACGGGTTAAAAGGTAAATAAACGGCTTATAATTTATATGGTGCATATAAACATTACACATAATACTTATTTGTGTTTGATGAAATCCTTTTCAACCTTGTAATTAAAAACGAAAAAGAAGAGTGGGTGTGAGTAATGGATATAACTATAGTGTACATGGAAGCAAAATTTTCCATAGAAGTACCATTGAACGTTGATAATTAATAAATATTAAAGCATTAATAATAATGCATAAAGCTATTGAAGAATAATGTAAGACATGGAATATTGAAAGTTTTAACTTGGGTTTAAGGAACTGTAACTAAAATCAAATTGTCAATCATGTAGGGAAAATGTAAACTTAATTTAACATCAAATCTTGATGTGAATAGTAAAATTAAAATAATGATTATTTCTAAAATTTTCAAATACGTTTAGTGACAATAGTTATTTCCGAATTTTTCCTAATTAACTACCCGTCACGACAAGGTCCTTAACTGGTGTTTAAGTAAAACTTGCAATTTTAAAGGAAGTTAGTATCTAGGTGATCACCTTTTTTTTAGCAATTTTATCCGTTTGATAGTAGTGCGTGTACTGTCTTGTAATGAATGGGTGTATAAAAATGTTATAGAAAGATTTTAAAGCGTTACCGCATTAACATTCTAAATGCTAAAAAAAATATAAAATAAAAATGTAAAAATGCAAATCAATTAAACAGATATTAAATTCACGTAAAATTAATTGTGTTGGCCGTCATTACACAGTAATTTTTAAATCAACACCATTTTATTACTAGAAAGAAAATAACGATTGCAAATTTCCAATAAAACAGCTTGCTTATAGTGATACAAATAATAATAAAAGGGCAATGTGTGCCAAACAATTATACATTTATTTTTTTATTAAACTTTTCAACTTAGTATTATATCGCGTTCAAAACGAACAATTATTAAAACATCTCATGCTATGGATCAACACTCACTTTTTGTATTTTGTAACTATTACTTAAATCTTCTATAGTGTTGAAATAAAACAACACTCTATCCATTATAACTGTAAAAAATTATAATGATCACGTAAGAATCAAGAATATCCATTTTTGTCAATTCTAGCCATACTAGCATATAAATGTGGACCAAGCTTAGAGAAGCATGGCTGATAACTAACCATCAACCACAAATACAACAAACTATAATCACTGCCTACTTCCTAGTAGTGTGATGCTATTGGCTGTGCGATTTTATGATCATTTTGTAATTGTTTATATATTACAAAATAAAAAGATTGTTGCTGATCAGATGCATTCCAGATACGCTATTTGAGAAGAAGATGTTTTCTATAAGGATAGGCAGCTATAGCAAATGAGGTTAGGAGAATTGTTGAGTTAAGATATACTATTTAATAATTGTACTGACAGAGATACTATAAAAAAAAACACATGCAATTGGGTTTGTATGACTAATTAATGAATATCCTATAAATAATAGCAAAATGGTGTAGAGGTCGTTCTTAAAAGATATCATTAAATGTTAGAAAAGCCCATAGGTCTAAATATTTTATAAAAATCGCTGCTTTAAAAATCAAAATAGGGATTAGGGTGTTGGGGAATGTGGGAAGTCTGACTTTTGGTAACGATAGAGAGTGGTTGGGAGGATGTGGGAACAAAACGTGACATCGTTAATAGATGTCCCCATAGTCAGAGGTCGATCTAGCTTGATTATGCTTATACTAAAATATTAATTACGCTTTATTTATTATTACAATGGAATATAGCCTAGTAGTTTGTGTATATCAATTAATATAACATCCTCTTTCACCACAACACACTGACTATATCAATCTAAATAAAAATAAAAAGATTTCGTAAACCACTTTTCCTACCTATAATTCTACAACTGTTTCTGTGACGGTATTGCAGTATTTTTTGCCTACTTTAATTCGATAGTTCAGCATTTTCAAACAAAATTGAAACTAAGGCAACTGATCCCGAGGTCCTAATCTTATTTTTAGACATTTTTACGTAAACATCAATAAGTTTATTTTATTAAGCATGATCAGGCTAAAAATATTTATTTTTCCCCTCATAAGTAAGTCTACAGCGCCTTATGAATAAAAATAATAAAAAATTAAACATTAAGTCATTTAGTATCAACGCTTCTGCGCACCAAGAATTTGGTCCCTAAAAATATCTGCTTAGTCGCGAATATAAAAGACAACGCACACATTTTTTTAAATGAACGGATGGCACATTTTTAATGGTGACTAACAACAACTATTTTTTCTTTGCGCTTAAATTTTTATTCTTAAAATGTTCTAAAATCTAAAGGTAATATTTATGTTTAATATATCAGATTATATCAAATCCTAGCCCTAAAGCTTTTTGCTTTTTAACCCTATAATGGACGATAAAGGTTAATAGTTTTTTTTCTCCATTAATTATATCTGAAACTTCTTTTCAGTATCTAGATCTAGGTTTGATTACTAGCGTATGTATTTATATTTAGAACAGTCTGTGTTGTGTATATAGTGTATATAAACTGTGCTGTGAGTTGTGACAGTCCAGTTAGTATCTGTTTTATGTAAGTTGTGTGAGAATGTGTGTGATTGTCCCAGTTTAGTCCAGTTCACCTACAAGGTCAGTGTGGGTTAGTTCTGTACTGTTAGATAGTTTGTGTTCTACTGGTACTAGCTTATGTATTCATATTTAGAATAGTCTGTGTTGTGTAGTAGTGTATAGAAACCTTTTTAGTTTTAACAAGCCGATGTTTCATTTACACTTGTTTTGGAACCATTGTGTAATTGTTTTTCTAATATGTTGCATTGCACTTGACCACATATAAATCCGTGTCCGTGTGTTCACAACAGTCAGCACTACGCCTAGACACATTGTTTCTCTAACGTGCTGTGCTCTTGTTAGCAATCGTAAGTTCTACCACAAGACCAAGTCATCCTCAATTGAGTCCCCGAAATTATCAAGTTTAGATGTTAGACTCAGTAGGAATTCAATTAGTTCACCCAGCCTTATGATTAACTAATCATAGAATGTTCCCTGAGTTCACTCAGCTCTGATGATTAACTAACCATAGAATGTTCCCTGAGTTCACCCAGCACTAATGCTTAACTAACCTTAGAATGTTCCCTGAGTTCACCCAGCTCTAATGATTATCTAAGAATAGAATGTCCCCTGAGTTCACTCAGCTCTAATGATTAACTAACCATAGAATTTCCCTGAGTTCACCCAGCTCTAATGCTTAACTAACCTTAGAATGTTCCCTGAGTTCGCCCAGCCTTATGATTAACTAATCATAGAATGTTCCCTGAGTTCACCCAGCTCTAATGATGACTAGACATAGAGTGGCCAGGACTATGTCCAATCAGCTTTTCTTTACGTGAGTCAGGTATATATCCGAGTTGGGTGGACTCAGGCCATCGTACGTACTCAATCCGTGGAGTCATGCTCTAGAGTTTAGAGCTAGCAGTCGTGAGGTATATCATCCCAACACACCGTCATGTCAACACTATATAATGACCTAGACAATTTATATTTCCAGTTATACAACATGTGATCATCGAACCAATTTTGACACTGAGATCGTGCTGGTAGCAGAGACATGACCAAATTCTAAACATGTCTTGTACATCTACGCCAGAACCAGCATCATGTGATTTTACCATCGTGGTTGACGGAACCGAGTTTAAAAGCCACCAAGAATTCCTGAGCTCAACTTCCGCATACTTCGACGCCTTGTTTAGAAGCAATATGAAGGAGACAAAAGAAGGGAGGGTGGAGCTACAGGGTATGACAAAAGAGACTTTTTCTGTTGTGTTAAATTTCATCCACCAGCGTGTCCATGGTCTGACGGCTGATAACATTGATGACATCTGGGATGCAGCCAATCGTCTGGATATTGCAATATATCTTAAAGAAATAGAACAGTTTATTATTGATAATCTATCATTTGATAATCTATGGCATTTTTATTTTAAAGCTGTCGATTACAATTCCAACAACGTCAAAGACGGTTCGGTAATGTTCATGAAGAAAAATTACGAGCGTATTTTCAAGATGAAAGAATTTCTGATTTTGCCTTTTCCTATAGTGTTATCTTGTATCAATAGCATGGAATTGAATATCAGGTCAGAGGACTCAGTTCTGGAGTCCATTTTAACCTGGGTTTCACACGGAAAATACAAACAAGGTGCTTGTATGACGCGTGACCGCAGCGAAAAGAAAGTCTCGTGTAAGGATGATGAACTCCAGAACCGCGAGGGTCACTCTCATGACGTCACTACTTCTGTTGGCCAGATTTGTGACTCAGGAACTGTAGCTGAGGATGGCGAAACTGACAAGCTTGGCATTAACATCAGAAAACATGGCCAGCACGATGACTTCAAGAATGACGTCACAAAATGTAGCCGGACAGGCGATCGAGCAAGTTATCTCGCCAAACTCATGTCTAGTGCAAAACTTACTTTAGCCACAGAAAGTTATTTAAGGAATTTACTCAAACACTCCTATATAATCGAATGTCCAGATGCCTATCGAGGAATACAAGAAGCCCTGAAGTACAAGTGCGGGGTATATCCTTTAGAGAGCGCCATACTGACCCCTCTTCGAACGGGCAGCGGAAAGAGAAATGCCTTAGCGTTTGCTGAAATGGATTCAGGTCTGCACCTCTACGATTTTGAGAGCAGTACTTTTAGTAAACTCAATCTTGAGAGTTTAAAAGGACGATACAGAAAAATAGTGTCTGCTGTTACACTGGGGTCGACAATTGGCTTCATATGCGAAAGGCACTTAAGAAATTGTCCTTTCGCAAACCACAAATGCCGCCTTGCAACTGTCCTTTTGTTGAACGAAAACAAAACTGTAACAACATTATATGAATTGTGCGGTAAACACAACTCAATCTTTACTTTATTTCGTGTATATAACAAGATTATATGCCTGAAAAGAAACGATCGCTTTGCTGCAAGCAGAAGTCGCATAGTAGAACCAGATTTATTGAACACAGTAGTAATAAACTCTGATATCCATTTTATTCCCTTCTGTGTTTTTGAAAATGATATTTTGATGTTTAATCATGAAGATTATTTTAATGACCTAACTAGGGATTTACCAGTCCACACATACAATATCGAAACGAAGTCAGTAACAACGACCGAAATACCAAATGTTGGTGGCCAAACTTTTAGAGCGTTTGTAATACATAAGGACAAAGAAACATTCCTTTTACTCCCAAACGGAATTTTGCTTTTGATCAAGAGAGGTTCAGACAACGCAGTAAAATTCACAGAGGTAGTTCATCTTTGGACATATCTTCAATGGTGGCTAAGCGGAGCTGTGTGTTATAAGAACGAGCTGACTTTGTTTTGTACCGCAAGCCAAGTGCCACATTGGCCAATATTGGCGTCCGTGCCGGGACTGTTCGACAAGATCAATGTCGTCGAGCTTGATGAAGAGATTTTTACCAAAAATATGGTTCCTGTGATAGCGCCGGTGTCTTGGTTCGGATAATCAGCGATGAGGTTTTGGCATTGCTTCAGATGTGCCATCGTCTGCTGTTACCATTGTTTTGAATAACAGTCGTCAGTCAATGAAAATCAACGTATGTCGTTACACACAGTATGCCAAAAAAAAAAAAGAGTGAGATTAACTGCAGTTTAGCGCATCATATAACATCAACTTTTGACCAACTATAATATTCTATTTCTTCGATGTACAGGCTATAGAAGACCCTTCTGTACAATCAGCTGCCTTGATCAAATTCCATCTCACTGAAAACCAGCTAGTTTATTATAACGTTTTATGTGTATCCATCACTATTTACACATTATCTTGTGTCTTTTATTGTGCTTATCACATTTACGCAGTCGGATATTAAAATAAACAAAATATTTAAAAATGTGTATTTAAAAAAAGATTTTAGTTTTTACATATAACCATACAATTAATTTTTACTATTTTCAATTTTAATGTGACATGCTTAAACACAAATGCATCTATTGATTTCCCACGTGGTTCTATATAGCGCAATTCCAAACAATACTTCAACAACAATACCTTTCACCCCAACAGCTGTCACCCCAACAGCCTTCACTCCAACAGCCTTCACCCCAACAGTCTTCATTCCAACAGCATTCACCCCAACAGTCTTCACTCCAACAGCATTCACCGCAAGTCTTCACTCCAACAACCGTCACCCCAATAACCTTCACCCCAACAGCCTTCAACCCAACAACCTTCACCCCAACAACCTTCCCCTCAACAACTGAAACACCAACATCCGCCGCTCACTTTTCTTGCTCCTAGTTTCTCAATCCTCTCCATCTGGTGTAGGACACCTTTTAAAGCGTGGTTGATGTCTGTGAAGAAATGTTCTTGCGTTTGGCGTGTATCAAACAGTATTATAAATGATGAAATGCTCTATAACTGCACAATTTAGAAGTAAAAGTGACGAGTTACTGTCATGATTTAGTTCATACGACTTTCCTCTTTAGCACCCCGTCGTCGGAATTCCAGCTACTTTACGCCGATCTCGCTTTGAATATTCCATCCAGAATAAAGTAATAAAAATTAGAATGTTTTGAATATGACAGCAAATAAAGTAAAAGTACACAGATATTTTTTAGAACATTAGGAATAAAGCGTGAGTGATATCACCTGAATTCTATCGAATATTCGTATTTAACACTAAGTGGAAGCTACATAACCATTACTATCGGGCCATTTAACACTTTTTTTTTTACAATGAAATTTTTAAATAGAAAAGAATCGTGTAGGAAAAAAAAAGAATTGCGCGCAAAATGTACAGCAAACAAACTGTGTACATAATACTTTGAAAAATTAGTACTTGATGAAGACAACTGTGTCCTACATGAAACATTTAACGCTGCTCAATTTTCAAAATTTTCATAAGTTTCAATGAGGATAGTAAAAAAAAAGTATTATTGGTTTTCAGAAAATCTGAAATAATGTAAAGTACTATTTCCGGTCACCTGAATGTTGACATTTTCCAATGTATAGGATCTTTTGCTTATTTATAAAGTTTCGTCTATCTAACTGAAACTGTAGTAAGGTTATATTCTTAAGAAACCGAGAGTGAAATAAGCGCCATTTTCGATTATCTTAATAGCTGAAAAAGTTTAAAGGGATCCTAGCTGAAACGGTACTGGTTATTGTGTTAACGTACACAAAGACACACATCCACTTAGACACACACACACACACACACACACACACACACACACGCAAACTAACAAAAAACCCAGACATATAGACCTTATTGCAAATTAAGTTTTTTCCGGCTTAAGTAGGTGTAAAAGTTCTAAATCAGTTAAATTTGTGTTAAATTTTGTAGATTTGTTAAAATCATTATATATGATTTTTGCAGATTTGTCAAATCACGGTTCAATTTTTTGAAGACTTGTTAAAATCATGATTTTTATTTTTGCAGATTTGTTGAAATAACTTTTTTTTTGGAGAATTTCTTCAAAACACGATTTCAAATTTTGCAGATTTGTTAAAAATCACAATTTCGATGTTTGCTGATTTGATCAAATGACGATTTTGATTTTTGCGGAAATGTTAAAATCGCGATTTTGATTTTTGCAGATTTATTAATATTATGATTTCGTTTTTTTTAGATTTGTTAAAATAATTTTTCTTAGACAGAAGACAAACAGAAGAAGCAAGTTAAGTAAAAGCTAGTAAACAAATTCATAAAAAACGTTTTAATAACAAGCTTTTATGTAATAATGCACTAAAAAGTAGAAAATAAATTATACACTATTATTTTCCCACGTTTTCTTTAACTTGCTTTCGCGTCTGTTTGTTTGGTTCTCCAATCAAATCTTGCGATCGATATTTCGGGCAGTTCCCAGTTAACTAGCGCGCTGAAATTTTCAGGGAAGCTTTGTTTCCGATGACCATAGAACATTCAATTGTTATTATTACTAAATTGATCCATGGAAACATTTTATTGAGCATTTTAGACCGCTATATAATTGTAGTAAAAACGTGGGGAAAAGGGGACATAACCCAGTAACTGTAATTTGATGAAAACAAGGTTCGGTACTCTCCCTCTTTGCTTACTGAGTAGTGTTCACGCGGTGTTTGTGTACAAACAACCGTAACAAATGGTGGCCAGAATGGGGGAGACGATATGGTCGAGTGGTTGGGCACACGATTGCTATCCCACTCGACACGGGTTCAAATCTATGTGTTCTATTCAGTAACGTATTCACACAACGTGTTTTTTACGAGTTGTCTTTTTACGAGTTGTCTTCGTTTACCCAAAAAAAAGTGAAAAGATAAAATCGATAGCAAGATTTTAATGCAAACAAACAGACAGAGACTAAAAAGTAGAAAATAATAATCATTAAAAAAGTTTTAAAAAACCCACGTTTTCTGATTGAACTAAAAAGTAGAAAATAATTGCTATACATCACAATAATGCAAGCGATCACTCTACTATAAGCGATCAAAAACGTGGGGCGCCGTGATTTTCTTACAGTTTCTAATACTGTTGACTCTCTACAAGCTCCCTAATAAAAGTCAATAGTATTATCTAATCAATAGTAATATAACTTTTACTTCGGCGCCCCACGTTTTTCATCGCTTATAGTAGAGTGATCGCTTGCATTATTGTGATGTATAGCAATTATTTTCTACGTTTTAGTTCAATCAGAAAACGTGGGTTTTTTAAAACTTTTTAAATGATTATTATAAATTACTATAAAGAAAAGCGTGGGTCTCTTCTCAAATATTAGTAAAGGTATCCAATCGGTACTAAAGTGACCCACGCTTTTCTTTATAGTAATTTAAATAATAGTGTATAATTTATTTTCTACTTTTTAGTGCATTATTACATAAAAACTTGTTATTAAAACGTTTTTTATGAATTTTTTAAGAAATATGGTAAAATTAAATGTATTAATATAATTAGTTTGTATTTGTGAATTTTTCTGTTGTGCGGTTTTGAGATTGCACATTTTTCTAGATATCGTTCTTTACACCAAATGCAAAAGACGATTCACACTAAACACAGCAGAAAATTAGCTGTGGGTTTGATCTTGGATTTAAATGGAGCTAATACCAGAAATGAAAGGGATCTATATATATAATTCTCTTCTGGGAGCCGTTAGAAAACAAGCTGCAAGCGCGCGCCTTGTAGTCCCCTCTCTTTCTCTCTATCGCTACCACCCCCCCCCCCCCACCCCCACCCCCCTCACATGGTCAGGTGAGTTGTAGTTCACGCTAAATGTTTATTTTGGTGACGGCTATTAGGGGCAGATAATTCAGTTTGAAACTGTTTTAAACTTAGAGGAGGTAACTAAGAGGAGGCTGCTTTCACGGGGGGGGGGGGGGGGGGAATGGGGGTTTAGTGTTTTAAAGCAAATATTTTCAGTGGCAGCATTGGTACTGTCGAATTCACAAATTATGAATTACTGAAAAGTAGAAAAAACAACTAAATAGCGGCGTATGATACACCGCGGGTCGGCTCGTACTTTATAAAATGTTACTGTCGGCATTGCAGTATTTGCCTAGATTGAACCGTAGATTTCTAGTTAAGCACTACACAAACTAAATGAAATGGAAACAAATACAACTGACCTGTTCGCTTTAATCTTATTACTACGTATTTTTAAATTCCTAACATTTTAGGTAAACATAAATAAACGATTTTACTTAGCATGACCTGGTTAAAAAGCATTTTTCTTGCACATAACTATGACTTAATTACAGTCAGCGATGTATCTTGGCAAAGCTACGCCCACACAAATATCCTAAATGTGTTGAGGACCTAAATTAAATGGCTTCACCTGGTGAAATACAGCGCCCTTAACCCATCCTCATCACTTCCTATGTAAGTATACAGCTTTCTATAAAAAATTAACATTAAGACATTCATGATCTACGCTTTTGCGCACCAAGAATTTGGATACTGCTTAGTGGCGGTTATAATGACCGTACGCAATTATTTTTTATAGAACGGATTTGACATTTTCAATGTTATTTCTACAACGTATATTTATTTACATTATTTGGCTCGAAATTGTAAAGTTTTATAATTATAAATGTTCTCAAGTCTAAAGGTAATACTAATTTTGAATAATATATCAGATAATAATAAAACCCAGCCCTGCACCTTTAGGATTTCTCATTTCTATGATGGATCATCTAAATTTATACCGTTTTTAAAAAACATATTTAGATCTAGATCTATCTTTGAATGTCTTTTCAGTATCGTTTCATGACTGAGTAATTTAATTTTTACTTTTTGTTTGCATAAGTGTGCAGTTTCGATGTTGTCTAAATATTTTTAATAGCACATGCAAAGATAGGACTGCGTAATTTGGTGGTTGAGCGCCAGATTTATTATCTTTTACCGATCGTGTCTAAGACAAACATGGGGCAGATAAAGTAGAGTCCATTAGATTTAATAACCTTGGCAAACAAGGGGATAAAGTAGTCAGCACTATACGCAGCGGAATATGTTTTCCTTACGTGATTCAGGTACCCATCTGAGGTGGGTGGTCTCATATACAAGAGCCCGATACCTAAGCCCTACCTCCATACTACAACATTACCAAATAGCGCTAGATAGCTGACCCGAAATTCCTACGTTCGTTTATTTGACTCTAGTCTGAAGAACGTCCCTGATTTCACCCAGTTCTGATGGGTACCTGACCATACAATGTCCCCTGAGTTTACCCAACTCTGATGTTCACCGGACCATACAATGTCCCCTGAGTTTACCCAACTCTGATGTGCACCTAACCATACAATGACCCCTGAGTTTACCCAGCTCTGATGTGCACCTGACCATACAATGTCCCCTGAGTTTACCCAGCTCTGATGTGCACCTGACCATACAATGTCCCCTGAGTTTACCCAACTCTGATGTGCACCTGACCATACAATGTCCCCTGAGTTTACCCAGCTCTGATGTGCACCTGACCATACAATGTCCCCTGAGTTTACCCAGCTCTGATGTGCACCTGACCATACAATGTCCCCTGAATTCACTCAGTTCTGATGTGCACCTGACCATACAATGTCCCCTGAATTCACTCAGTTCTGATGTGCACCTGACCATACAATGTCCCCTGAGTTTACCCAACTCTGATGGATACCTGACCATACAATGTCCCCTGAGTTTACCCAGCTCTGTTGGGTACCAGTCCCATGTAAGGGACACGTAAGTCTGTTTAAATTACTGCGGATCGCACTATACGTTTACATGCAGTTGACAAGAAGATAATAAACACTAATTCATCTGCAGTATGTAAATTTAGGTACAAAATGAAAACTTCACTATCTGTAAATAATAGGAACTACAGACAGATAACTTCAACCGATACCTAAACTTAATGTTTGATAGTAACCCCAAACACTAAATTAACCTACAATCGTAAACACTAACCCTAGTTCTAAAAGTAAAATAAAAGTAAATTGTAAACAGTGACTTTGAATCAGTCCAGTTAAGAACTCAACGAGAACCTCTTCTCCAACTATATTCTTTTACTACTCAGCGTAGAGTGAATCAAAAGTACCTGTTATACAGATATGGCTTTCCTAGTCCTAATCCTAGCCTTGACTTAATTCACAACGACGCTGAGATTAATATATTATACATCGCAAATAAACAGTCAAGTTAACATTTTAGAACATAATAGTCAATGGGGCAGAAAATATGACCTCGACATTTGAGTAGATCGTGTGGTCAGCCAAATTTCCAACTGTATTTGCTTTTCTTCACGTGCGACAGGTTTATATCAGAGCTGAGTTGTACGTACTCAATCCAGAGATTCGAGCTCGAGTCTTTATAGTTAGCAGTCGTGAGTTCTACAGTCCCACCACACCGGCATGTCCTCACTATATAATGACCTTGACAAACTTATATATTTCCAGATGCACGCTAAGAGATCATCACAACATTTTTAATACTGAGATTGTGCTGTACGAAATTGTTAGCAGAGATACCACCAAATTCTAAACATGACGTCTGGGATGCAGCGAATCGTCTGGATATAGCAATATATCTTAAAGAAATAGAACAGTTTGTGATTGATAATTTATCAATTGATAATCTATGGCACTTTTATTTAAAATCTGTTGATTTCAATTCCATCCACGTCAAAGAAGGGTCGTTAACGTTCATGAAAAAAAATTACGAGCTTGTATTTAGGATGAACGAGTTTCTGAATTTTCCTTTTCCTTTAGTGCTTTCATGTATTGAAAGTGAGGAGTTGAATGTCAAGACAGAGGACTCAGTTTTGGAGTCCATTTTAGTCTGGGTTTCTCACGGAAAATACAGACCAAGTGCTTGTATATCACCTAACTCTAGCGATAAGGGAGCGACGTGTAAGGATGTTGAATTTCAGATCAGTGAGGGTCACTCTCGTGATGTCACAATTACTGGTCAGTTGGGTAGCGTCATAAAGGTTGGTCAGAGTTGTGACACAGGAACCGTAGCTCAGGCTGGCCAAACAGCAACTGACAAGCCTGACATTAACTTAAGAAAACATGGCCAGAACGTTAACGTCAAAGATGAAGAACACACTGGTGACGTCACAAAATGTAATCAGACAGGCGATCGAGCAAATTATCTCGCCAAACTCATGTCTTTTGCCAAACTTACTTTAGCCACAGAAAGTTACCTACAGAGTTTACTGAAAAACCCCTATATAATCCAATGCCGAGATGCCTATCACGGAGTACAGGAGGCATTAAAATACAAGTGTGGGGTGTATCCTTTAGAGAGCGCATGTTTGGCCCCCCTTCGAAAATGCAGCGAGAGAAAAAATGCCTTGGCGTTTGTTGGAGTAAATTCAGGTCTGCACCTCTACGATTTAGAGACCAGAACTTTCAGTGAAATCAAGCTCGGGAAGGTAAAAAGGAGCTACAGATACTTTTTGTCTGTTGTCTCTCTGGGGTCAAGACTTGCCTTCTTGTGCATAGACGGCTATAGAAATTGTTCTTTTGCCAGGCACGAATGTAATTTTATACTGTCATCTTATTAGACGAGGACAAAAATGTATCAACATTGTATGAGTTGTGCGGCCAATACACATCAGTGAATGCTTTATTACGGGTAAATAACAAGATTATTTGCTTCCAAAAAAAATATTACTCTGTTCCAACCAGAAGTCGCATAGCAAATCCAGATTTACTGAACACAGTCACATTAGACTATGGTATCGACTTTATTCCCGTCTGTGTTTTTGAAAACGATATTTTGATGGTTAATCATAAGGATTTTTTCAATGACCGAACTGACGGTTTACCAGTCTACTTTTACAATCTAAAAAAAAAGTCCCTAACCTCAACCTTATTACTAAATGTTGGTGATCAATGTGCTGACCCCGTGGCAATACACAAAGACGGAGACACGTTTCTTTTACTCTCAAGCGGAGTTTTACTCTCGGTCAAAAGAGGTTCTGACAACGCAGTACAGTTAACACCGGTAGTTCGTCTTTGGACTTTTGAATGGTGGCTGAGTGGAGCTGTGTGTTATAAAAACGAGCTGACTTTGTTTAGTGCATTAAAGCCTATAGCATTTGGAAATATTTTGACGTCCGTGCCGGGACTGTTTGACAAGATCAATGTTGTCGAGCTGGGCATGAAGTTTAAGATCAAAAATATGGTTCCTGTGGTAGCGCCTGTGTCTTGGTTCGGGTAATCTGCTGTGAGGTTCTGGCAGTGTTTTTGTTGCTTCGTCGTCTGCTGTCTCGAGTCATTGAAGAAAAGTCGTCATTCCTTGGGAACTATTGTAGGTCGTCAAACACAATATGCCAAAAAAAAACGATTGAGATTATCTGTGGCTGAACACATAATATAACTTTAACGTTTGACCAACTATTTCTTGTGGCTAAACACATAATATAACTTTATCGTTTGACCAACTATTTCTTCAATTTTTGACTACAGATGACCTATTTAAGGAGAATAAGCGACATTGATCTAATTCCATCGCCAAAGAAAAAATAATTCTATGAAAACATATTTTTCAGTGAACACATCATTATTTAAACATTATCGTGTGTATTTTATTATAATCACACATACACTGTAAGTCATTAAAACAAAGATACCTTCATAAATATGTATTTTTTAAAATAATTTTACAATTTATACGTTCTGTTAAACTAGAATGTTCTTTTTATTTGATTTTTTACTTTGTATTGTCATCAGCTTAAACGTTGCCTTCCTAATATGTCTCATACACTATCTTCAACATTATACTCCAACAGCAATTACAGCAATCGCTGTCTCCATAGCTGCTGCCCCCCCCCCCCCCACACACCTCAGTCTTCACCGATCAGCCTTCAATTTAACAGCTGTCACTCTAAACAGCTTAAACCCCAACAGCCTAAACCCCACCAACCTGAACCCTAACATCCTAAACCTCGAAAGCCTTCATTCCAACAGCCTATTTTCTCCTTTTTAGTGTAATTTTACATTTAAACTTGTTATTAAACCGTTTGTTTTAGCATTTTATTTCAGTACTTTAATTTTTTTTTGATACAATAGAGTTGTATGACCAAACTCTATTGCACAGGAAAGGAACATGACCACGAGAAATGCGGGTATAATAGCGCGGTAAATATGACTTTATATAGGAACATTTTATTAATTTTTTAACATTAATGTAGCATTCGATTGATTTCAACTTAAGTCAGATCAGATTACCAACGGGGCTAGATTCTACGTGCTAAGTTTGAAACAAATCGGTCAGTTAGAATTTATCCAAACTTCGCTGGGCAGTTTCGACCCATGACAGACACACAGACATAGGAAGCAAGTAAATAAATGCATGCCAAACCTTGCTGAAAAGGAGTAAAACGGCTAAAAAGTTGAATATAAACTTTACAAATAATACTTAATTGTGTTGAAAGAAATCCCTTGCTTTCAGGATGATTGAAAATATGCTCATCAAATACATGAGAAATGCAACTTTCCAATAATGCCAAATACAATATGATGACGGATATAAAACGTTTCGTAGAAAGCTTGTAAGATTAAGAAAAAACGATTATTTTTAATTAATAGGGTCATAAAATGGTATTTTAAACACACATATTTTTGTTATTACGTCTACTATTTTTGTAGTACAAAAATTGACAAAATATTCAAAAGTGCAAGAAACCCATCATTACAAAAACAGGAATTCGGTGATTTTGTAGGGAGCATATCCCCTTAAATATAATAATAAACTACTATTTAAAAAATATTAAGGGTGGGTCATTATACTAATTATTGGATACTTTTACTAATAAATAGGAAGGGACTCAACCTTTCCTTTATAGTTATTTAAATATTAGTGTATTACATTTTTTTTCTCTTTTTAGTTCATTATTAAACAAAATCTTGTTATTAAATGTTTTTTAGCATCTTATTTCAGTTCTTTACATTTTTTAATACAACAGATTAGTATGACTAAAATCTATTGCACAGGAAATGAACATGACCATGACAAATAAGGGTGTAACAGCGCAGTAAATAGTACTTTTTATACGAAAATTGTAGTAATTATTTAAAATTAATTAAACATCCGATCAGTCAAATATTATGTCAGATCGGATTGATTCTACGTGCCAATAACGAAACGAATCGATCAGTTACAATTTATTTAAATTTCGCTGGGCATTTTTGATCCACAAACAGATAGACAGAGAGAAGGAGCAAGTTAAATAAATGCTTGTAAAAACAGGCTTAAAGGGGAGTAAACATCCTATATGGTGCATATAAATTGTACACGTAATACTTAATTGTGTTGGAGGAAATCCTTTCCAACATTATAATTAAAAACAAAGAAGAAGAGTGGGTGTGAGAAATGGATATAACTATAGTGTACAAGGATGCAAAATTCTCCATAGTTTTACCAGTGGAAGTTAATAATCCCGTATGCATAAAGCTATTGAAGAATAATGTATTATACGATTTCATGGAGCCATTGAAAGGTTTAACTTGGGTTTAAGGAACTGTAACTAAAATCGAATAGTCAATCATGTAGGGAAAATGAAACTTAATGATGTTGAATGTAACTTTGATTTAATTTCACATTAGGACGTGAATTGTGAAATTAAAGTATTTATACATTTCTACATTATCAAAATCGTTTAGTGACGATAGTTTATCATGATTTTTCTAATTAACTAGAAGGCACGACCAGGCCTTGCACTGGCCTTTAAATAAAACGTACAAATAAAGGGTCATATGAAATCTCTACGACCCCCCACACACACTCCAGAAACCCTTGCACGGATATTAACACCTGCAAATTTTACCATTTCAAAGTATGTTGGTATCTAGCTGATCACTTGTTTGTTTAGAACTTTTATCTGTTTAATTGCTATGCGAACTATATTGGATTAATGAGGATATAAAAATACTATAGGAAGATTCTAAAGCGTTACCGCATTGGAGTCATCCATAAATGACATCACACTCGTAGGGGGGGGGGAGGGGGGCCGTAATTTTTTGAAAACGTGTGATGAGGGGGAGGGGGGGGGGGTTCAGATGTTGCGACCTCACATTTTTGCATTATAAAAAAGTAATGTTAGAAAACGAATTTTAGACGTTATTTCGCGTTTTAGATAACTGTTTTAATAAATTGTAATAGTTTAGACAAGATTTTAGAAAAATATCGATGTTTAAAAAAAATTCAACTGCAATTTTGAGGGGGTGGGGGTGTAGGCTTAGGTGTGACGTCATTTTAGGGGGGTGTCTGGTTTTTTGTGACCACGTGTGACGGAGTGGAGGGGGGAAGTAAAAATCGTCAAAAAGCGTGACGTCATTTATGGATGACCCAATTGACATTCTAAAAATAAAAAATTATAAATAAAATAAAAGTTTAAAAATTCAAATCAAGTGAAGTTGGTCGTTAACACAGATTATAAATTCGCGTCAAATTAATTGTGTTGGCCGTCATTACACTGTGATTCACAAATCAACAACTAATGTCAAAGTTGTAATCTAATAGTTATGTGTTTTTTTTACACATTTCTCAATGAATATAAATTTGATTAACACTCGTACATTTAATGTAGCACGAAACTAAAGGATACTTTCAATAGTATGAAAGCACGACATTTCATCTACATTATATGTATATAAATAAATAATTATATATATATATATATATAAATATATATATATATATATATATATATATATATATATATATATATATATATATATATATATATATATATATATATATAAAATGTTAAAATGAACACAGTTTGGGTCATACTCTGTTATACACTGTGCTGTAAATTGTTACTGTGCTCTCCCATTAGCTGTAAGATTTCTGAATTAAAATTCTCATAGTAAGGGAGGTGATTAAATAAAAAAAAAATCTTAAATAATGTAATTACCTCTCTTATTATGTGGTGTTAAAAGAAGAGTAGATTTATTAATTGTGTGTCTCAGCTAAGACTGTAGTTGAAATGAAGGCTACATATCAATCAATTAAAATCACTTGTAATGAAGGCTACATATCAATTAAAATCACTTGTAATGAAGGCTACAAATAAATTCATTTCTCGTGAAATGAAGGCTTTAAATCAATTAAAATCCCCTGAAACGAAGGCGATATATCAATTCTGTTAATCTATATTAGAAATGTACAATATCATGTTTTGAATACAAGTCCAGAAAATTTATCCGGCCACTTCTCAGCTAATAGCCTCCTTTTTACAATCTAGTGTTAATTATCTAACAATGCTTAGTTTAATGAAAGAGATTTAACAAACATTCGATATTCATTTTTTTAAAGTACAATAAAAAGTTAAATAAAATAAATTAAATTTGCTGTAGTAAAAACATCGGTTGCTAACTTGATTAAACTTTTCTTACAGACGGATAAACATTGTAAACAAAATATGAATTTAAAAACACACTTCAAGAGATATTTTTTCTAGTTCAACTACTCAGAAAGATTTAGATCAAAAGTAGTTATGTTTAAATAAGATGAAACAATTACACGTTATACATTTTAAAAAATGTATTCCTAACTCAATGGGCAGGTTAAACCCCCAAATTGAAAATTAGGTGTTAGGACTTTTTTGAGTGATAAGGAATTTGTAACTAACATTGTATATGAAAACAATGCAAAAAAAATAAATAAAATGTTATGGTTTTGTCAAAATATTATCTAAAAAAAAATTCATAAAAAACGTTTTAATAACAAGCTTTTATGTACTAATGCACTAAAAAGTAGAAAATAAATTATAGACTACTATTTAAATAACTAGAAAGAAAAGCGTGGGTCTCTTCCTAAACATTAGTAAAGGTATCCAATAGATACTTAAGTGACCCATTCTTTTCTTTCTAGTTATTTAAATAGTAGTCTATAATTTATTTTCTACTTTTTAGTGCATTAGTACATAAAAGCTTGTTATTAAAACGTTTTTTATGAATTTTTTTTTGCTGCTTTTGTCTGCCAATATCATGGAAATATTTTTTTATCACATTCACGCACAACATGAATGAAATGTAGTACATACAATAAAGCATTATACCATTAATATGAAGAGATTTTGGATATATTGTTGTTAATTTACTAACTCTTTAACCACAACGAAAATAATAAAACACTGGAAAAAGTATGTATTTTCTATATATTCATATGCCTAACTAACTTAAACTCTGTTCCCAAGGTGTCCTAATTTAAAACGTCCCCAAAGTAGACATAAAAAAGTACACCTTGGTAAAAATAGTTTTACTTTCTCTGAGAAAAAAATAACAGTAGTATGGCCTAGCGATAGAACGCTAGACCGCTAAAGTCACGAGTTAAAATCCAGGTTCAAGTTAGAAGAACGTAACTGAATTCACCCAGATATAATGGGTACCTAACTAGTGCTTGAGGAAGTAAAGACGGCTGGGCATAGTGCTGACCAAACTATCTCTTTATACGCAGAGGTTACAGAAACAGGCGAACTATACTTCATTTACCACATAAACCGGGTCTTGCAAATAAAACTTTCTAGAAATATTATAAAGACTAAAATTTCTGCATGGGACTGTGTGGCTTAGCGGTAAAGCGCTAGACTGCTAAAGTCTCTAGTTTGAATCTCGGTTCAAGTCAGTATAACCACCATGAGTCCAACCAGCCTTTTCAGTAGTTAATTTACCTTAGCGAAAAGTGATTGCCGATGGGCATAGTGCGGTCCACACTATCTCTTTATAAGACCCGGTCACAAAGGTGAATGCTAGTTCACTTACCACATGAATCGTTAAGTTCTAAAAGTGAACTATTTGTTCAAGCTGCTGCGCATCAGTATTTGTGTGCACCAATATTTGTTTTAGTTGCGCTTACAGCGGAACTGTATTGAAATGAACGGATGTGAGAGATCTGAAAGTTACTTAGACACGAATGTTTCTCTAAGTGATTGGCCTCGAGAATCTGAAATTCTTGAAAAAATAGTCACTAGATCGTCTGCTGTAATGTTGTCGTTTTACACACGTGTTCTTACAAAACAGATCTTTTAGACAGTTTTAAAGGTAACATTTATTTATTCTGTAAGTATTCTAAAAAATGCAGACTTTGTTTGGGAACATAGCCTGGCTAGGCTGATACAACTGCTGATAATTCATATTTACCTCACAATTTTCTTATGTTCCGCGCCTTCAATTCAGTCTGGATAATCTATAACTACAACAATAGGTGAAACTAGTAATGTGAAAGAAAGGTGTCTGATTAATATTGCTTAAATACAAGAGTGTATTGTGATATATTTGCATACATTAAAATACTGATTTACTATTAAACATATTCAATGTCTAAATAGTTTATAGATCTATATCAATAATATAGACATAAAAGTCCATTTAAACAGCAGTGTTTGACAGCAAGATTAACTGTATAAACAGCGGCCATCTGTAAATTAAGGTGGGTTACCTTGAAATTCTAACAATAAATAGTTAAATATACAAAAAAAAAATATTCTTAAAAAAGATGTCTGCTAAGTTGGTTGTATTTGTATCGTTATTTATTGCTTAAAAATGTAAATAATAAAACATTTGTGTAGCTTAGTAAAACATAAATCCTCGTACAATTGCAAGATAATTACTAAATTAAAATAGTCACCTTTCTGTCACATTACTAGTTTCGGTCAAATTTACTGCCATTTGTCAGTGACAACACATGTGTAATGGGTGGATCTTTACTCTTACCCTTACCCTTACCCTTACCCTTACCCTTACCCTTACCCTTACCCTTACCCTAACCCTTACCCTTACCCTTACCCTTACCCTTACCCTTACCCTTACCCTTACCCTTACCCTTACCCTTACCCTTACCCTTACCCTTACCCTTACCCTTACCCTTACCCTTACCCTTACCCTTACCCTTACCCTTACCCTTACCCTTACCCTTACCCTTACCCTTACCCTTACCCTTACCCTTACCCTTACCCTTACCCTTACCCTTACCCTTACCCTTACCCTTACCCTTACCCTTACCCTTACCCTTACCCTTACCCTTACCCTTACCCTTACCCTTACCCTTACTAACACTAACTATATCGCTAACCCTAACCTTATCCCAAGCATTAGCCCTAGCGATAGCAATAGCACTAGCACTATATCTACTCCTTACCCAAACTCAATCCCAAACGCTAGACCTAACCATTGCATGAGAAACAATTACTGTAAATATGGCAGGCCTTGTTAAATAAATTAAAAAAGTATAATTCTTGTTAGTGTTAAAAAAGTGCGAAGTGAGAAAAACAGCAAGCAGTTACCAAAAGTAGGTCACGAAAATACTACATCTGTGTAATTTGTAAAACCGATTGTGAGATTTGGGTATTTCCTTGATGATTGAAAATATGCTCATCTAATACATGAGTAATGCATCTATACAATGATACCAATATAATATGATGACAGATATAAAAAGTTTCATAGAGAGCTTGTAAGATTGAGAAAAAACGACTATTTTTAATTAAAACGGTTATAAATTGGTATTTAAAATACACATTGTTTTGTTGCGGCAAATGGTACTTTTTAAAGGCAAATTTTATTAATTACTTAAAACTAATTAAACATCCGATGGAGTCAAATATTATGTATGAAATAAGTTAGTCAGTTACAATTTATCTAAATTCCGACAGAGGGAAGAATCAAGTTAAATAAATGCTTGTAAAAACAGGCGTAAAGAGGAGTAAACAGCTTATACGGTGCATATAATATGTAATACTTAATTGTGTTGGAGGAAATCCTTTCCAAAATTATAATTAAAAACAAAGTGGAAGAGTGGGTGGGAGAAATAACTATAAATATAGTAAACAAAGGAAGCAAAATTTTCCATACATATAGGCCTACCAGTGGACGGTAATGATTCCGCATGCATAAAGTTATTGAAGAATAATTTAGTACATGGATCTGTTGAAAGGTTTAGCTTGGGTTTAGGGAACTGTAACTTAGATCGAATAGTCAATCATGTAGTGAAAATGCAACTTAATGATGTTAAATGTAAGTTTATTTTAATTTCTTATTTAGACGTGAGTTGTGAAATTAAAGTATTTATACATTTCTACATTATCAAATTCGTTTAATGTCGATAGTTAATTATCATTGTTTCTAATTAACTAGCCGGCATGACCAGACCTTGCACTGGCCTTTAAGTAAAGCTTACATATAAATTTAACGTGAGCAATATTAATATGAAATATCTACGACCCCACACACTCCACAAACCCTGGCACAATTATTAACACCTGAAAATTTTACCATTTTAAAGTATGTTGGTATCTAACTGATCACTTGTTTATTTAAAACTTTTATCTGTTTAATTGCAATGCGAAATATATTAGTATGAATGAAGGTATAATAATAATAAATTAATACTCTATAGCGTTACCGCATTGATATTCTAAAAGCAAAAAGAAAACTAATATAAAAGTTTTAAAAGGCATATTAAGTTGAGTTGGTAGTTTATACAGATTATTAAATCGCGTCAAATTAATTGTGTTGGCCGTCATTAAACTATCATTTTCAAATCAACAACTAATGTCAAATATATATTTTAATAGGGTTTTTTTTTTTACAAATTTCTTAACAGATATAAATCTGATCAAAACGCATATATTTGGTGTGACATGGAACTAAAGAATACAAGCAATAATATAAAAGCACAATATTTTAACTACATTATATCTCCATTGCGTCCTGGACAGTGAGACGAATGATAAACAAAGGAAAAATGCGCTACGGAAAAATGCTTACAAAAAGTTGTAAGGACATTTTGATTTTCTTAAATTTTACATTTTAAAAAACAGTCACCACATGTATACTGTAGCATAATAAAACATATTATCACGAAATATTGCAAAATTAAAGTATATTAGTATAATTAGTTAGTATTTGCGTATTTTCCATTGAATAGTTTTCAAATTGCGCATTTTATATTGTACCATCCTTGACATCTAATAGAAAAGACGATTCACACTAAATACAGCAGAATATTAGCTGTGGATGTGTACCAGGATTTAAGCAGATTTAATACCAGAAATGGAAACAATATTACTACAACTCTATCTGTGTCAGTATTGTAGTAGTTTCCTACATTTAAAAGTAATTCTATAGTTCAAACTAAATAGAAACAAATACAACTGATACCAATGCCCTAATGCTATTCGTACATAATCTTAAATCCTTAACTTTTTATGTAAACATCAATGAAAGATTCTGTTTATCTTGAAAGGGTTTAAAAAAATATATTTTTCTTGCACATAACTATTACCTAAAAATCAGACAACGATTTCTATTGGCAAAGCGAAGTCCAAACGAATTTCTTAAATGTGTTGAGGACGTTAATGGAGACGAGCGAGTTGACGAGAATCCTTCCATCATGTTGTTGACATGGAATAAAAACGTGCTTTTTTAGATTTAGCAAACAAAGCAACTGTAAAAATAATAACAAATAAAAACGTAAGTCTAAAATTAATTCAGAAATTTTTCATTTTTAGAATCAATTATATAAAATTTGAAACTCAAGAGAACTTGAAAAAAAAATGTGTTGAGTACTACATTTCTATTTATTTTCATCAATCGTAAATGTTTCACTTTCGTAAGACAAATATTGATTGGCTATACAGGAACTCCGTGATCGATAACTATTTGTTTACAAAAGAAAATTAGATAAAGTTTTTAAATAACAGTGCAAATTCAAACCACATGACCTAGATTTCCTTTTTTTTCGCTTACAATGTGTACAATAAAAATTATGGTAGCCTATCGAATAGCACGATCATATTGTTTATGTTGCCATTACACGTAAAACTCAAATTGTTTTTGCTTTTTTAAAATGTTTATATAGTTACTGAAAATATTAAAATCATCCAATACAACCAATCTTCAGTAAAGTCCAAAAAAAAAAAACAATAGACAGACAGGATTTTATAACCATATTAATTGTAACTACGCCGTGCAATTTTTTAAAATTATTTAATGGGCCTCTCGAATACTTTCTCGCCCGCGTACATTAAATGTATTCACCTGGTGAAAAACCAAGCCTCCCCCATCATATGTAAGTCTACAGATTCCTATAAATAATTAAAACATTAAGTCATTTAAGATCTACGCTTCATTGCACCATAAATTTGGTTCCTAAAAATATCTGCTTAGTCGCTATTATAAAAGGAAACGCACTCATTATTTTTTAAATGAACGGATGGCACATTTTTAATGGTAACTATAAAACTATTTCTTATTTACATTACTTGGCTCTAAAATTTGTATACTTAAAATCTTTTAAAATGTGAAGGTCATAGAATCTATTTATGTTTAATATATCAGATAATAATAAAACTTAGCCCTACAGATTTATGATTTCTCAACCCTGTAATGGACAATACATGTTTAAAGTTTTTTTTTCCCTTCATTATATCTGAAGTTCGTCTTATATGTTGTATAGTGTACTTTTCCACATCTAAAGCCGTGTCCGTGTGTTCACTATGCCTAGACGCATTTGTTTCTCTAACTTTCAGGTTACACGTCATAAGTTCTACCATCAGACCAAGCCACATCCACGAGAGTACCCGAAATTATCAAGTTAAGATGTAAGCCTTTGTAGGAAGTCACTGAGTTCCTCCAGCTCTGATCACCACCTAACCATAGAATATTTCCTGAGTTCACCCAGCTGATCACCTCCTAACCATAGAATGTTTCCTGAGTTCACCCAGCTCTGATGGGTATCACTCTCACGAAAGAGACTGTTGTGGATAAAACAGATCGCACTTTACCTTCATCTGCCTTTGTAAACAAAAGATTAACAGTACTTCATCAGCCGTATGAAACATCAGGTACGAAATGAAATTACTACCTGTAAGTAATACATAATACAGACAGATAAGGTCAACCCATGACTAAACTTACCTTTGAAGGGAGGGTGGAGCTACTGGGTATGACAAGTGAAACTTTCGCTGTTGTGTTAAATTTCATCCACCAGCGTGTCCATGGTCTGACGGCTGATAACATTGATGAGATCTGGGATGCAGCGAATCGTCTGGATATAGCAATATATCTTAAAGAAATAGAACAATTTATAATTAATAATTTATCAATTGATAATCTATGGCACTTTTATTTAAAATCTGTCGATTTCAATTCCAAAAGAGTTAAAGAAGGTTCGGTAAGGTTCATGAAGAACAATTACGAGGATGTCTTCAGAATGAAAACATTTTTGAATTTGCCGTTTCCTTTAGTTCTATCATTTATCGAAAGTGAGGAGCTGAATGTAAAAACAGAGGACTCAGTTCTGGAGTCAATTTTAATCTGGGTTACCTTAAAGACAAATTTAATCATTCTCTAACGCTAATCCTGAAAGTAAAATTAAAATATAATAGTAACAGTTTCATTTAAGTAGCACAATAAAGAACAATATGAGAAACTAATCTCCAACGATACTTATATTCTGTCATTACTCAGCATAGAGTGAATCTAAAGTACCCGTTAAACAAATATGACTCTCCTGTTCCTAATTGTAGCGTTGATATTATTCACAATGACACTCAGAATAGTAAATTTATTCAATTACAAAGAAATAGTAAAGTTTCGTTTTAGAAGTTGGCATTCTATTGCGCGGATTATGTGACATTTATGTAGTTCGTGTGTCCAATAATCTTTTCTTATCGTTACGTGAGCAGGGTGGACTAAGGGCCTTAGTACGTACTCAATCATGGGATTCGTGCTCAAAATATTTGTAGCTAGCTGTCATGAGTTCGTTCTACCATCCCACCACACCATCATGTCCTCACTGTATCTTAACATTAACAAACTTATATTTCCAGGTGTACACTAAGGTAATGCTGAACGGATTTTAACTCTAAGACATCAACAAACTTAAAAATGGCTTGTTCAGATACGACGAACACCGCATCATGTGACTTCACCATCGTGGTTGACGGCACTGAATTTAAAAGCCACCGGGAAATCCTGAGTTCAACTTCCGCATACTTCGACGCCTTGTTTAGAAGCAACATGAGGGAGACACAAGAAGGGAGGGTGGAGCTACAGGGTATGACAAGTGAGACTTTCGCTGTTGTTTTAAATTTCATCCACCAGCGTGTCCATGGTCTGACGGCTGATAACATTGATGACCTCTGGGAGGCGGCAAATCGTCTGGATATAGCAATATATCTTAAAGAAATAGAACAATTTATAATTAATAATTTATCAATTGATAATCTATGGCACTTTTATTTAAAATCTGTCGATTTCAATTCCAAAAGAGTTAAAGAAGGTTCGGTAAGGTTCATGAAGAACAATTACGAGGATGTCTTCAGAATGAAAACATTTTTGAATTTGCCGTTTCCTTTAGTTCTATCATTTATCGAAAGTGAGGAGCTGAATGTAAAAACAGAGGACTCAGTTCTGGAGTCAATTTTAATCTGGGTTTCTCAAGGGAAATACACACCAGGTGCTTGTATGACACCAGACTGTAGCGATACGGGAGCCACGTGTAAGGATGTTGAACTCCAAAACCTTGAAGGTCACTCTCGTAACGTCACAACTTCTTTTCAGTCGGGTGATGTCATAAAGGTTGGTCAGATTTGTGACTCAGGAATTTTTGCTGAGGCTAGCGAAACTGACAAGCCTGGCATTAAGTTCAGAAAACATGGCCAGCACGATGACGTCAAGAATGAGGCTCACACTCGTGACGTCACAAAAAGTAGCCTGACAAGCGACCGGGGAATATATATCTCCAAACTTATGTCTAGTGCCAAACTTACTTTAGCCACAGAAAGTTACCTAAGGAGTTTACTCAAACACTCCTATATAATCCAATGCCCAGATGCCTATCGAGGAATACAAGAAGCCCTGAAATACAAGTGTGGGGTGTATCCTTTAGAGAGCGCCACATTGACACCTCTTCGAACTAACAGCGGAAAGAGAAATGCCTTGGCGTTTGTTGGATTGGATTTCGGTCTGCACCTCTACGATTTGGAGAGCAAAACTTTCAGTAAAATTAAGCTCGAGAACTTCAAGGGACTATACAGAAGGATTTTTACCGTGGTATCCCTGGGGTCGACACTTTGCTTCGTATGTGAAAAGTACTTAAGAAATTGTCCTTTCGCCAATCATAAATGCCGCATTTCAACTGTCCTTTTGTTAGAAGAAAATAAAAAGTTAGTAAAATTGTATGAAATGTGCGGTAAACAGGGTTTGCTCTTATCTTTATTTTTTGTAAAGAACAAAATTTTTTACGTCGAAACAAATGATCGCTATGATGCAACCAGAATTCACATATTTGATCCCGACTTATTCAAGACAGTCATATTGAACACCGATATCAATATTTTCTCAGCATTTGTTTTAGAAAACAATATTTTGTGGATTGATTTAAAAAACCATTTCATTAACCAACCTAACGATTTACCAGTCAACACTTACAACGTTGAAACTAAAACTCAAACAAAAACTCACATACCGTTTTTGGGGAGACGACGTTTTATGTCTGTGGCCATACACAAAAACAAAGAAACGTTTCTTTTATTCTCAAGCGGAGATTTAGTATCGGTCAAGAGAGGTTCTGACAACGCAGTCAAATTCATACCGGTGGTTCAACTTTGGAATACTTTTGAATTGTTTCTAAACGGAGCTGTGTGCTATAAAAACGAGCTGACTTTGTTTTGTATAACAAGCCATGTGTCAAATGGGACAATTTTGTCGTCAGTGCCAGGACTATTTGACAAGATCAATGTCGTCGATTTTACGGACGTGATGTGGACATCAAATATGGTTCCTGTGATAGCTCCCTTGTCTTGGTTTGAGTGAGGTTTTGGCAGTGCTTTTATTGTCACATCCTCTGCTATCACCATTCTTTTAAACAAAAGTCGTCAGCCAATGAAAACCATCGTAGATATTCAAACATAATAAGTAAAAAAAAATTAAGATTAATGACATTTAACGAACTCCATCACACAGATGACCAGCTGTTTCTATTTTAATTTTTTTACGTGAATTTACATCACAATTTTCACATTATCCTGTGTATTTTATTATAATTACCATATTTACGCTGTCATTACGTCTGATTAAGTCTAAATTTGTATTGATTTTATAACATATTACCTTACAATGAGCTTTTTAAATTTCAAATTAATTTTTAATGTGACAAAATTGCATGTATTGCCTTTTCTTGTTGATTTCTATACTGCGTTTACCACTATACTCCAACAGCACTAACAGGAATAGCTGTCAACCCCACCACCTTTTATCCAAACAGCATTTACCCCAACAGCTACAATCTCAACAGCTTCACCCCCCCCCCCCCTCAGGTTTAACTCCAAAATTTTTTAACCCCAGAGCCCAACCCCAACAGCTACCACCTACACTGCCTTTATTCCACCACCTGTATTTTAAAAAAAATTCCCGCATTTATCTTGCTCCTAGATTCTCAAACCTTTCAGTTTAAACAGAGAAAATTATTTGATGTGTAAGTGTCTCTAGATTTAAATAGAGTCAATACCAGAAATGAAAAAGATTCTACTACAATTGTATCGGCGTCGGTATTTCATAATTTTCCTACTTTTAAAAGTAATTCTCTAGTTTAGCATTAACATACTAAATGGAAACTAATTCAACTGACCCCTAGACCCTAATCTTATTTTTACATATTTTTTAAATCCCTAAATTTATACATAAATATCAATAAACGATTTTATTTAGCATGATCTGGTTTAAAAATATATTTTTCTTCCACATAACTATGATTTGAACTACATTCAGCTATGTATTATTGGCAAAGCGACGCTCAAACGAATATCCTGAATATCCTATCGAGTACCTTAACTAAATGTCTTCATGTGGTGAAGGGCAGACTACGCCGTCCCCGAAAGCGCTATATAGCTAACCCGAAAATTCCTACGTTAGTATATTTGACTCTAATCAGTAGGAGGTCTATGAGTTAACCCAGCTCGGATGTGTGCCTAACTATAGAATGTCCACTGAGTTCATCCAGCTCTGATAGGTACCTAACCATAGAATACCTCCTGAGTTCACACAGCTATGATGGGTACCTAACCATATAATGTCCACTGAGTTCACCCAAATCTGATGGGTGCCAGCAATATAAAGTCCCTAAGTTCGCCCAGCTATGATGGGTGACAGTCTCACGTAAGTGACATAAAACTCGAGAGTACTGCAGATCGCACTATACTTTCATATGCAGTTGACAAGAGAAAGATAAACAGTTCTTCTTTTGCCGTATGAAAATGTAGGTACAAAAAAATTAACTATATGTAAATAATAATAAATACAGACAGATAACTTCAATCCAAAACCTAAACATACCTTTGATAGTAACCTCAAAGACTAATCTAACCGAGATATTTTAGTAACCATAGACATTAAGCAGAATTAAAATCTAATAGTAAGGGTGAGACTAAATTCGTCACGATAAGAACATTATGAGAACTTCTCCAACTATATTATGCTATTACGCAACGTAGAGTAAAACGAATTATACATATATGGTTCATTTAGTCCTAATCCTTGCCTTGATATCATTCACAACGATACTTAGATAAACATAATTAATCTATCACTTTTTAGTAGTAAAGTTACACTTTATAAACTGGCTGTCCATAATGATGTGACATTTGAGTAGTTCTTGTGGTCAGCACTAAGTCCAATCATCTTTCTTATCTTTACGGCACTGGATTTAAAAGCCACCGGGAAATCCTGAGTTCAACTTCGACATACTTCGACGCCTGGGTGTGTTATGGATATAACTGTAAAAGGAAGGAAAATTCTTTATAGATGTTCCAGTGAACGTTAATAATTCGTATTATAGGGGTACATGGAGCTATTGAAAGGTTGGTTTGGGACTAAAGAACTGTAACTTAAATCAAATAGTCAATCGTGTAGGGAAAATGCAACTTAACGATGTTAAATGTAAATTTAATTTAAAATCACATTAGGGCGTCATATATGAAATTAAAGTATTTCTACATTTCTACATTATCAAATTCATTTAGTGACGATAGTTAATTATTATTTTTTTTAAATTAACTAGAAGGCACGACCAGGCCCTGAAATGGCCTTTAAATAAATTTACAAATAAAGTTAATATGAAATCTCTACGACCCCACACACACACTCCACAAACCCTGGCACGGATATTAACACCTGAAAATTTTACCATTTCAAAGTATGTTGGTATCTAGCTGATCACTTGTGTTTTTTACAAGCTTTTATTTAATTCACTTCCTCTGTCGACAGTCGTCAGTCGTCAGTCGTAAGTCTGTCTGTCTAGATCGAAATGCTGGAGTGAAAATTCGGACACTTCTACTTGACCGATACGATTCACATTTGGCACGTGGATCAAGACATGAAGACAATGCAATCTGAAATTAAATTTGACCTAACTAAATGCCTAATTAAGTTTTTTAATTAATTAAAATTTGGACCGAATCAATAGGCATGTCTATCCAACCACACCACACGCGTCATCACGTTCAATAGCTGCGCCATCACCTTCAGTAGGCGCGCCATCACGTTCAGTAGGCGTGCAATGGTTTTTAGTCATGTAACTCTATTGTAAAAAAAACATGTAAAGTACTGAAAAAATAAAAATAAAAAACGTTTTAATAACAAGCTTTTATGTAATAATGCACTAAAAAGTAGAAAATAAATTATAGACTACTATTTAAATTACTATAAAGAAAACACATTTCTCAATAAATATAAATCTGATCAACACGCGTACATTTAATGTAACATGAAACTAAAGGATACATACAATAATATGAAAGCACGACATTTCATCTACATTATATGTATAATATAAATATAAATATACATATATATATATATATATATATATATATATATATATATATATATATATATATATATATATATATATATATATTTATATATATATATAGATATATATGTAGATATATATATATATATATATATATATATATATATATAGATATATAGATATATATATATATAGATATATATGAGACTATATACAATATTAAACCGAACCCAGATTGGTTGATGTAATAACACACAAAAAAACACTGTCATACACTGTCCTGTAAATTCTTGCTGTGCTAAACCCATTAGCTGTAAGATTTCTGAACTAAAATTATCATAGTAAGAGAGGTGATTAAATTTAAATAAACCGGGAGTGATCTCCCCTAAACTTTCTCGAATATTCTTATATAAAATAACAGGGGATGGGAACTCGGGCTATAGACATGATTTTTAATCCATTTTAAATACTTAAAGTTTTAAAAATAGAATAAAATCTAGTAGACAAATTAATTGCACACCAAGTGAACGCCAAATAAAAAAGCGCATAATAGTGCGCAATATTATTATTACTTTTAAAATTTACATTAGTTTTTTGAGAAATCGGAAGTAGCGTAAAGTACTACTTCCAGTCAACGGAAATGACTCAAAATTTAAGAGAAGGTAGAGAATTAGATGTTTTACTTACATATGAAATTTCATTTATCTACCTGAAATAGTACTCAAGTTATAGGCTTTTGAAAAATTCAAAGTAGGAAAAGTACCACTTCCGGTTATCGGAAATCGCTCAAAAGTTGATACGGATCTACGATTTTGATTAAATACTTATATATGAAGTTTCATCAACCTAGCTGTAACGGTACTCAAGTTATCGTGTTTACACACGGACAGACAGACAGACAGACAGACACACAGACAGACACACAGACATACGGACAAGATTGCAAAATTATGTTTTTCCGTATTAGTGAGGTGTGAAACGTCAAGATTTGTAAAAATCTCGATTTTTTTTTTGCACGATTACAAGACTTTCTCTATACTTCGTATATACGAGAAAGTAAAAATATTAAAACGTAAAAAATCTAGTTACCTCTCTTATTATGTGGTGTTAAAAGAAGAGTGGATTTATTAATTGTGTGTATAAACTAAGACTGCAATTGTTATGAATGTGACTTATCAATTTAAATCACATGTAATGAAGACTACAAATAAATAAAGTTGTAGTGCATTGAAGGCTTTATGTAAAATCCCCTGTAGCAAAGGCTATATATCATTTCTGTAAATAATCTATATTCGAAATCTACACTAGCATGTTTTGTATACAAGTCAAGATAATTTATCCAGCAACTACTTAGCGAATAGCTTTATAATAAGAGTCCCCTTCTTACAATCTAGTTTTAATTATCTAACAATGCTAAGTGTAATGAAAGAGATTTAACAAAAAATCGTGATTAATTTGAATAAATATTTTTTAAAGAAAATTAATAAGTTAAAAAAAATAAATCAATCAAACTTCCTGCACTAAAAGCATTAGTTGCTTAGATCTACTTGCTTTAAGAGAGTTGATGACTTATCCCACAGACAGATAAACATTGTGAACAAACTACGAATCTAAAACTACATTATTAAAGATTGAGATGTTTTGTCTAGTTCACTAGTAGTTCTTTTTAAATAAGATGAAACAAAAACACGTTATATATCAACAATGTATAATATATATATATATATATATATATATATATATATATATATATATATATATATATATATATATATATATATATATATGCGCACACGCACACTAACAAAAAACCCAGGTGTAAAATGTCGAAATTAGTTGAATTTGTTTTAAATTTTAAAAATCATTATATATATATATATATATATATATATATATATATATATATATATATATATATATATATATATATATATATATATATATATATATATATATATATATATATATATATCCTAGTGCAGATGAATAAGAGTTTACGTTTTTACGTGACCTTACCATATGACGTTACAGTGTTTTCTACGCCAATTAACTTTTACTTTCCCAACCAGTGTTTCTTGCGACTTTTTGTCTCCGGTGGGGGTTGGAGGTCTGGGAACATGACTAAATTTCCAGGTGGTTCGGACACTGGTAAAAGTATATATTTTCTATATATTCATATGCCTAACTAACTTAAACTCTGTTCCCAGTGTGTCTTAATTTAAAACATGTCCAAAGTAGACATAAAAAGTACATCTGGGTAAAAATATGTATACTTTCTCTGAGAAAAAAATAACAGTGGTGTTCTACATGAGTCTATGTGGCCTAGCAATAGAGCGCTAGACCGCTAAAGTCTCGAGTTCGAATCCTTGTTCAAGTTAGTAGAACGTCCTTGAGTCCACACATTTATGATGGGTACCTAACTCGCGCTTGAGAAAGAAAAATCGGCTGGGCACATAGTGCTGACCACACTATCTCTTTATAGGCATAGGTCACAGAAACAAGTGAACACTACTTCACTTACCAGATGAACCGTCAGTTTCTAAAACTGAACTTAACTTTTTTTTTTCATCTTCTGCGCCTATTGTTTGTGTGCACCAATATTTTGTTTTAGTGGCGCTTACAGCGGAACTGTATTAAAATGAACGGATGTGATAGATCCAAGAGTTACTTAGACACGGATGTTTCTCTAAGTGATTGGTCTCGAGAATCTGAAATTCTTGAAAAAATAGTCACTAGATCGTCTGTTGTAATGTTGTCGATTTACACATGTGTTTTTATAAAACAGATCTTTTAGACAGTTTTAAAGGTAACATTTATTTAATCTGTAAGTATTATAAAAACTATTGCAGACTTTGTTTTGGAACATAGCCTAGATAGGCCTACATCAGCAGGATTTCTTATCCCTGCTGATAATTCATATTTGCCTCTCAATTTTCTTATGTTCCAGCGCCTTCAATTCAGTCTGGATAATCTTTTGTCGTAACTACAACAAAAGGTGAAGCTAGTAATGTGAAAGAAAGGTGACTGATCAATATTGCTGAAATACAAAAATACATATTTGCATAAATTACAATACTAATTGATTACTGAATATACTCAATATTTTATATATCAATAATATAGACATAAAAGTTCATTTAAACAGCAGTATTTGCCCGACAGCAAGATTTGCTATAAAAACAGCGGCCATCTGTAAATTAGGTTGGGTTACCCTGATATTCTAAAAATAAATAATATAATTTACAAAAAAAAACATTCTTAAAAAATATGGCTGATAAGTTAACAAGCTTGGTAGTATCTGTATCTTTATTTATTGCCTAACAAATGTAAATAAAATTGTTTAAAAATAGGTTTACACGAAACATTTGTGTAGCTTTGTAAAACATAAATCCTCGTAAAATTGCAAGTAAATAATATATTGACTGTCACCTTTGTGTCACATTACTAGCTTCGGCCTAATTTACTTCCATATGTCAGTGGTAACACATGTGTAAAGGGTAGTCAACAGACACGACTTGGGGGCCATTCTTGTACCGTCACAACATCTCTACATATGAATACTCGGGTCTAAGACATTACCTCCCCACTTGTCAACTACACCCGGACATTTATCCCACACCCCCGCCTTGATATTAACACCTCCTGTGAATTACCCTCTGTCGATAACCCACATAGGGAATTACCCCCCTCCCAAAAGTACAAGTATCCTGATTGCAACGCCAGACATATATCTTACCTTACCTACAATCTTAAGATAAAGCTTTACCCTAAGCATTCGTCGCATCGTAAATCTAAGCCAAACCTCAACCGTAAACCTTGACATTAATATTTCCCTAACCCTAACTCTAACCCTAACACTAAAACTTAATAACCCTTCCCCTTCCCTTCCCCTTCCCCTTCCCCTTACCCTTACCCTTACCCTTACCCTTACCCTTACCCTTACCCTTACCCTTACCCTTACCCCTACCCCTACACTAACACTAACACTAACACTAACACTAATACTAGCACCAACACTATCTCTAACACTAACACTAACACTAACACTAACACTAACACTAACACTAACACTAACACTAACACTAACACTAACACTAACACTAACACTAACACTAACACTAACACTAACACTAACACTAACACTAACACTAACACTAACACTAACACTAACACTAACACTAACACTAACACTAACACTAACACTAACACTAACACTAACACTAACACTAACACTAACACTATACACTATACACTATACACTATACACTAACACTAACACTAACACTAACACTAACACTAACACTAACACTAACACTAACACTAACACTAACACTAACACTAACACTAACACTAACACTAACACTAACACTAACACTAACACTAACACTAACACTAACACTAACACTAACACTAACACTAACACTAACACTAACACTAACACTAACACTAACACTAACACTAACACTAACACTAACACTAACACTAACACTAACACTAACACTAACACTAACACTAACACTAACACTAACACTAACACTAACACTAACACTAACACTAACACTAACACTAACACTAACACTAACACTAACACTAACACTAACACTAACACTAACACTAACAAATAACCATATCGCTAACCTTAACCCTAACCCAAGCATTAGCCCTAGCGATAGCAATAGCACCAGCACTATATCTACTCCTTACCCAAACTCAATCCCAAACGCTAGTCCTAACCCTAAATGTACAATTGGTCCATGGCCAGGGAGGGGGTAATTGACGAGGGATTAATTGACAGGGAGTAATAAGTAAAGAGGAAAATGTCGGGGTGGGGGGGGGGGGGTATGTCCTGTTGGTAATTGACGACGGGGGAGGGGTGGGGGTAATGCCCTGATCGAGAATAATTTTGTTAGTGACTGTTTTAATAGCTACATATATAAGCCAACTCCGTGGTCTCTGTATATCTACGTATATTAGCCACTCACGTAATTTAATTATGTTTTGAAAGCAGTGGCCTAGCTAGGATTTTTGGGCTCCTATGAAAAAAGTGTTAGTGGGCCCCTCAGAGGTGTAGCGACCCTTCCCGGCGACCGGGGACAAACTTTCGTTTTGCACCCCTTGGGCCCCTATGTCTTGCTTACGCTAGCTTTACTTGACGGTAGCTACGCCACTGTTTGAAAGTAGTGACTCTAGGGTATGGTAATCTTAAAAACTAACATAGGCGCCATGGCGCGCAAGGGGAAATCGCGGCACCTACCTGCTTTTTTTTGTGGTAGGATGGCGTAATTGGATGGTAGAGCGCTCCAACTTGATTCACGTGCCCATTTAATCTGCGAAGACCTAGTGACGTCATACGAACTCGAGTGCAGTTATCGATTCCAGACTTTCAAGTCTTTTAACCACGAGCTAAAAACTTTCACTTAACCATAACCCTAACTTACCACATTTATTTCTTTATGGTTCAGATAAATAGCATTTCTCTATTTTAATACAGAGTGATCCACACTATGACGGGAAGAAAATTACCTCGCAGACATCAACCAAGCTCAAAAAAATCTCCGACGCAAGACGCCGCATCATGTGACTTTACTATCGTTGTTGACGGCACTGAATTTAAAAGCCACCGGGAAATTCTGATTTCAGCTTCAAATTACTTCGACGCCTTGTTTAGAAGCAACATGAGGGAGACACAAGAAGGGAGGGTGGAGCTACAGGGTATGACAAGTGAGACTTTCGATATTCTTTTAAATTTTATCCACCAGCGTGTCCATGGTCTGACGGCTGATAACATTGATGACATCTGGGATGCAGCCAATCGTCTGGATATTTCAATATATCTTAAAGAAATCGAACATTTTGTCATCAATAATTTATCAATTGATAATCTATGGCACTTTTATTCAAAAGCTGTCGATTTCAATTCCAACAACGTCAAAGACGGTTCGCTGATGTTCATGAAACAAAATTACGAGCATTTTTGTAATATGAAAGAGTTTCTGAATTTGCCGTTTCATTTAGTGCTATCATGTATTGAAAGTGAGGCGTTGAATGTGAGGACAGAGGACTTAGTTCTGGAGTCAATTTTAACCTGGGTTTCACACGGAAAATACCAACAAGGTGCTTGTATGACACGTGAACGCAGCAAAAAGAGAATCTCGTGTAAGGATGATGAACTCCAGAGCAATGAGGGTCACTCTCGAGACGTCACTACTTCTGTTGGTCAAATTTGTGATTCAGGAATCGTAGCTGAGGCTGGCGAAATAGCAACTGACAAGCCTGGCAATAACTTCAGAAAACATGACCAGCACGATGACTTCAAAAATGAGGACCTAACTGATGACGTCACAAAATGTAGCCGGACAGGCGATCGAGCAAATTATCTCGCCAAACTCATGTCTAGTGCCAAACCTACTTTAGCCACAGTCAGTTTCCTACAGAGTTTACTCAAAAACTCCTATATAATCCATTGTCCAGAAGCCTATCGGGAAATACAAGAAGCCCTGAAATACAAGTGTGGGGTGTATCCTCTAGAGAGCGCCATATTAACCCCTCTTCGAGCGAGCAACGAAAAGAGAAATGCCGTGGCTTTTGCTGGAAATAGTGTTCTGTATCTCTATGATTTGGAGAGCAGGACTTTAAGTAACGTAAAACTCGAGAACGTAAAGGGACGCTACAGAAACTTTAAGTCTGTCGTCTCGTTGGGCTCGACCCTTTGCTTCACATGTGAAAAGTACTTAAGAAATTGTCCATTCGCCACGCACAAATGCTGCATGGCAACTGTCCTTTTGTTAGACGAGAATAAATGTTTATCAACCTTGTATGAATTGTGCGGTAAACACAACTCGCTCTCTACTTTATTTCGTGTCAATAACAAGATTGTTTGCGTCAAAAGAAACGATCGCTACGCTACAACCAGAAGTCGCATAGTGGATCCAGGTTTCTTGAACACAGTCACTTTAAATCCTGGTAATTTTATTCCCTTCTGTGTTTTTGAAAATGATATTTTGCTGTTTAAGATTAACCTAACTCACGATTTAACAGTCAACATTTACAATCATGAAACGAATTCCCTAACAACAACCAAAATACCAAATGTTGGCGTACGCATTTTTAACATATTGGCCATACACAAAGACAAAGACACGTTTCTTTTACTCTCAAACGGAGTTTTACTATCGGTCAAGAGAGGTTCTGACAACGCAATACAATTCACACCGGTAGTTCGTCTTTGGACTTTTCAATGGTGGCTGACTGGAGCTGTGTGTTATAAAAACGAGTTGACTTTGTTTTGTACCGCTAGCCGTGGGCCACTTTGGCCAATTTTGACGTCAGTACCGGGACTGTTTGACAAGATCAATGTTGTCGAGCTGGGCATGAAGTTTCTTATAAGAAATATGGTGCCTGTGGTAGCGCCTATGTCTTGGTTCGGGTAATCTGCTGTGAGGTTCTGGCATTGTTTTTGTTGCTTCGTCGTCTGCTGTTACGAGTCATTGAATAAAAGTCGTCATTCATTGTAAACCATCGTAGGTCGTCAAACACAACATTCCATAAACGACTGATATTATCTGTGGCTGAACACATAATATAACTTAATCGTTTGACAAACTATTTCTTCGATTTTTGACTACATTGACCTTTAAGGATTATAAGCGACTTTGATCTAGATCCATCACGTCAAAGAAAAATGTTTTCTATTACAACATATTTTTATAGTGCACATATCATTATTTGAACGTTAACATTACCTTATGTATTTTATTATAATCACACATACACTGTAAGACATTAAAACTAATAGAACTTAAAAAGACATTTTGTTAATATATTTTTTTCAGTTTTTACGTTATGTTTAACTAGAATATGCTTTTGATTTCACTTTATTACTTTGTATTGTGACCAGTTCAAACATTAACATCATGTATTGCCTTCCCAATATGTCTCATACACTACCTTCAGCACTATACTCCCAACAGCAATAACAGCAATTTCTCTCTTCACAACTGCTGTCCCTCCTCCTACCCCCTGTCTTTACCTATTTGCCTTTAATTTAACAGCTGTCACTCTAGACAACCTTCACCCCAACAACCTTCACCACAACAACCTTCACCCCAACAACCTGAATCCCAAAAGCCCCCCAGCAAATGTCAGTCTCCAACTCTTTATGCTCTTAGTTTTTCAAACCTCTCATTCAATTATCAACAATCTTCCTTATATTGCGAGAGGTTCTCTTATAATATGACTTTCATCGAGCGAGACAACGGCGACATGTCTAAAACGTCAGCGACATTTTTTTAGATTACGACTCTTGTCCATTGAGACCGAAGAACCACGAAGAAGTATGAAAAACAAGAAGGGCATAAGAATCTGGAATTCAGAGTTTGAGTCCCGGCCTGGACAACTGGGGACAAATACAATTACAAAGGAAAGAAAACTTTAAATAAAAAAAACAACTGCTTCTTAATTCTTGGAGGAATAACCCAGGACTGATCTCCCCTAAACTTTCTCGAATATTCTTATATAACACTACGGGGGATGGCAACTCGGGATATAGACAATATTTTAAATCTATTTTTAATTAACTTAAATTAACTTTTTAAAATAGAATAGAATCTCGTAGAAAAAAGAATTGCATACCAAGTTAACGCCATGCAAAATGTGCATAATAGTGTGGAATATTATTAGTACTTTATTAATTTACATGCGTTTTTTTTTTTGAGAAATCGGAAATAGCGTAAATTACTACTTCCGGTCAACGGGAAAACATTACTCAAAATTTGATAAAAGGTCGAGAATTATATATTTTACTTATATGTGAAATTTCATTTATCTATCTGAAATAGTACTCAAGTTATAGGCTTTTGAAAAATTGAAAGTAGAAAAAGTACCTTTTCCGGTTATCAAAAAATCGCTGAAAAGTTGATAAGTATCTACAAGTTTGATGTTATACTTATATATTTAATTTCATCAACCTAGCTGTAAAGGTACTCAAGTTATCGTGTTTAGAGACACACATACATAAATTCACACATACACATACACATACACAGACACACGGACAAGATTGCAAAATTATGTTTTTCCGACTCAGGAAGGTGTAAAACGTCGAGATTTGCAAAAATCTCGATTTGTTTTGCACGATTACAATAATTTCGCTATACTCTGTATATACGAGAAAGTAAAAAAGGCTCTGAAGGCTAAAACAAAGGGAAATAAAATAGAATCCCAAAAGCCCTCCAGCAAACTTCAGTCTCCAACTCTTTCTGCTCTTAGTTTTTCAAACCTCTCAGTCAATTATAGGTTGATATAAGTTGATAGGTTATATTGCGAGAGGTTCTATAATAATATAGCCTTCGTCGAGCGAGACAACGGCGACATGTCTAATACGTCAGCGACATTGATTTAGATCAGTGCCGTAGCGAGGTCGGGTGTCACCCGGTGCGGCACTTAATGGTGTCACCCCCCCCCTCCCAGAGGCGTAGCGACCCTTCCAGGGGACAAACTTTTAAATTTTCGATTTGCACCCCCCCCCCTCAAACTTTCGATTTGCACCCCCCACCCCTCAAGTTTTCGATTTGCAACCCCTTTCAAGTTTTTCTCTATATATTTTGTTATTTTTTGCCTTGGTGTCACCCCCCTAAATGGTGTCACCCGGTGCGGTTCGCACCCCCCCCCCCCTCGCTACGCCCCTGATTTAGATTACGACTTGTGTCCATTGAGGACAAAGAACCACGAAGAAATATGAAAAAACAAGATGGGCATAAGAAACTGGAATTCCGAGAAAGGGGTGCTAAACCAAAAGGTTCAGAGTTTGAGTCCCGGACCGGATAACTGGGTACAAATACAATAACAATGGAAAGAAAACTTGAAAACAAACAACTGCTGCTTTATTCTTGGAGGAATAACCCAGGAGTAATCTCCCCTAAACTTTCTCGAATATTCTTATATAACACCACGGGGGATGGCAACTTGGGATATAGACGATATTTTTATCAATTTTTAATTAACTTAAATTAACTTTTTAAAATAGAATAGAATCTCGTAGAAAAAAGTATTACGTACCAAGTTAACGCCATGCAAAATGTGCAGAATATTATTAGTACTTTATTAATTTACATGCGTTTTTTTTTGAGAAATCGGAAATAGCGTAAATTACTACTTTTGGTCAACGGAAATAAATTACTCAAAATTAGATAAAAGGTTGAGAATTATATATTTTACTTATATGTGAAATTTCATTTATCTATCTGAAATAGCACTCAAGTTATAGGCTTTTGAAAAATTTAATGTAGGAAAAGTACAACTTCCAGCTATCGGAAATCGTTGAAAAGTTGACAAGGATCTACAAATTTGATGTAATACTTATATTTTAAGTTTCATCAACCTAGCTGTAACGGTAATCAAGTTATCGTGCTTACAGACACACATACATACATACACACATACACACACAGACATACGGACAAGATTGCAAAATTATGTTTTTCCGACTCAGGGAGGTGTAAAACGTCGAGATTTGCAAAAATCGCGATTTTGTTTTGTACGCTTACAATAATTTCATTTCGCTATACTCTGCATATAGGAGAAAGTAAAAAAGGCTCTGAGGGCTAAAACAAAAGGAAAAAAAAATGTATAAATACGAAATATAACATAATAATGAACAACTATTCAAATAGTATTAAGGGTGGGTCACTATATTATTTATTAGATACATATACTAATATTTGGGAATAGACACAAGTTTTTCTTTATAGTTATTAAAATAGTATTGCATTTTTAAATATTTTCTCCTTTTTAGTGTATTATTAAATAAAATATTGTTATTAAACTGATTTTAAGCATTTTATTTCAGTACTTTAAATTTTTTAATACAATAAGGTTGTATGACAAAAATCTATTGCACGAGAAATGAACATGACCATGAGAAATGCGTGTATTATAGCGCGGTAAATAGTACATTGTATAGGACAATTATATTAATTATTTAACATTAATTTACCATCCGAATGAGTCCAATATTATTTCAGATCAGATTACCAACGGGGCTAGATTCTACGTGATAAGTTTGAAACAAATCGGTCAGTTAGAATTGATCAAAACTTCGCTGGGCAGTTTCGATCTATGACAGACACACAGACATAGAAGTAAGTCAAATAAATGCTCGTAAAAACGGGTTAAAATGTAAAAAAATGGGCTTATAAGGTGCATATAAAAATTACACGTTATACTTAATTGTGTTTGATGAAATCCATTTCGACCTTGTAATTAAAAACGAAGAAGAGTGGTTGTAATTGATATAACTATAGTGTACAAGGAAGCAAAATTTTCCATAGATGTACCATTGGACGTTAATAATTAATAAATATTAAAGCATTAATAATAATGCATAAAGCTATTGAAGAATAATGCAATACATGGAATATTGAAAGGTTTAACTTGGGTTTAAGGAACTGTAATTAAAATCAAATTGTCAATCATGTAAGGAAATATAACCTTAATTTAACATCAAATCTTGATTTGAATTGTAAAATTAAAATAATGATTACTTCTAAAATTTTCAAATGCGTTTAGTGACAATAGTTATTTTCGATTTTTTCCTAATTAACTACCCGTTACGACAAGGTCCTTAACTGGCGTTTAAGTAAAACTTGCAATTTTGAAGGAAGTTAGCATCTAGGTGATCACCTTTTTTTTCAGCACTTTTATCCGTTTGATAGTAGTGCGTGTTCTGTCTTGTAATGAATGGGTGTATAAAAATGTTATAAAAAGATTTTAAAGCGTTACCGCATTGACATTCTAAAAGAAAAAAAGAAAATCTTATATAAAAATGTAAAAATGCAAATCAAGTAACATTGCTCGTTTATACAGATTTTAAATTCACGTAAAATGAATTGTGTTGGCCGTCATTACACTGTAATTTTTAAATCAACACCATTTTATTACTAGAAAGAAAATAACGATTGCAAATTTCCAATAAAACAGCTTGCTTATAGTGATACAAATAATTATAAAAGGGCAATGTGTGTCAAACAATTATACATTTATTTTTTATTAGAATTTTCAACTTAGTATTATATCACGTTCATAACGAACAATTATTAAAATATCTTCTGCTATGGTTTAACACTCACTTTTGGTATTTTGTAACTATTACATAAATCTTCTATAGTGTTGAAATAAAACAACAGTCTATCCAATTTAGGTGTAAAACATTATAATGATCCTTGAAGAATCAAGAATATCCACGTTTGTCAATTCTAGCCATACCAGCATATAAATAAGGACCAAGCTTAGAGAAGCATGGCTGGTAACTAACCATCAACCGCAAATACAACAAACTATAATCACTGACTGTTTCCTAGTAGTGTGTTGTTATTGGCTGTGCGAGTTTATGGTCGTTTTGTAATTGTTTATATATTACAAAAGAAAAAGATTGTTGCTGACCAGATGCATTCCAGATACGCTATTTGAGAAGAAGATGATTTCTATAAGGATAGGCAGCTATAGCAAATGAGGTTAGGAGAAATGTTGAGTTAAGATAAACTATTTAAAATAATTGTACTGACAGTGATACCATCACAAAACAAATGTAATTGGGTTTGTATGACTAATTAATGAATATCCTATAAATAATAGCAAAATGGTGTAGAGGTCGTCCTTAAAAGACATCAGACATTAAATGTTAGAAAAGCCCATAGGTTAAAATATTTTCTAAAAATCGCTGCTTTAAAAATCAAAATAGGGAATGTTGGGGAATGTGGGAAGTCTGGCTTTTGGTAAT